CCGCCGGCGCCAGGGCGCTCCAGGAATGCCCATGGCCGGTGCACAGCACCTGGCCGTGCGGAGCCGCGTGGGCACGCATGTGTGGTGAGCGGCACAATGCCGGCATTGTAACCCCGACGCCGGCGGAGCGATGCCTCCTGACCCAGGAGCAGGGACCGGCCACGGGATCTCTCCCATCATGGCTGCCTTGTTTTCCCTGTGCATCCCAGTGGGTGCAAGGGAAAGCACCCAAGCCTGGGAGCCGTGGGTGCCGCTGCGGTGATCCAGGGCCCTGGTGCTGAGCTGCTGGTGGTGCCGGAGCTGGGGACTGGTCGAAGCCAATGCGGCGGAGCCGATGATCTGGAGGAGCTGCCGTCCAGTGCTTGCAGGAGCAGCCAGGGAGGTACAGGCGGAGAGACTCTGCAGCGGGTCCAGGGGATTGTCCACAGAGGTGACCATGGCCCTGGGATGAGGGGGGAAAAAAAGGGATAAATGAAAAAGCAAATTTAGGAGGGGACCGAGCATCTGAGGCAACTCGGTGGTGCCTTTGGGCACAGACCCAGCGCCTGCCCGGACATCTCCAGAGCCTGGAGGGGTTTTGGGGACAGAGGTGTTGGCAAGGCAAGAGGGACGGGACGGGCTGGCCATGCTCCTTCCTGCTCCCGTGGCCCCCGAGACTGCCAGGGAGGGGGTGCAATGCCAGCAGACCCGCAGGACGATGAGCAGCTCCTTGGAGTGGTTTGCAACACCCGTCCACGCACCGGCTGAGCCGTTGGCAACCCTCTGCCACTGCACCGCAGGCGCCCGGCAAGTCTCAGGATGTTTGATGGGGCGAGGGACATGCAGTCCCCCAGAGATAACAACCAAGCAGAGATATTTCAGCCGAGAGCGTGGGTGAACCTAAAGGGAGAATCCCGCACGGGCCGGGGTTGCGCCATCACCGGGTCACGCCGCAGTCACATGCCGGCAGAGCGCGGTCACACCAGTGCCCTTCGCCTGACCCTGGGGATCACAGGCAGGCGCCGGGGAGGGCTGGTGGCGTCCTGGGGGGTGACAGCCCCGTCCCACCGTACGCCCTGTCCTGGCGAGCGCCGGCCCCTGTCCGTCACCGGCATTAAGGGCGTTTGTTGCATTTCCAAGCGGGATGAGCAAAAATGTAGTGGGGCCAGCAGGTCCCCACGGGTGCAGCCACGGGGCCGAAGCCCCTTCACACCCAGCCCCGCAGAGGGAGAGAAAGTCTAAAAATCCCACAAACCTCAATTCAGCCACGGAGCACGAGGAAATTCGCTTTCCTTTTTGGGTTTAAATATGTCTACCCGTTCTGAAATACCCAGGGGATCATACAGCGATTGCCCACCCATTTTAACTGCCGCTCTTGCAAATGGCAAGGCAAAACCAAACAACAATTTATGGCAAAGAACGTGAATTTTTGTGTCTGGTCTGTGGTCTCGGAACGTACGTTCTCCAAGAAGAGTTTCCTGCAGAAGCCAAGGAAGCCGAGACGGTCGCTGGTGGGTTCTCACTTGACACGTCTCCCATCAGGGATCACCGCGCCAGAAGTCAATCCAAGTTTACCAGCATGGAGGAGACCAGGAGCAGCCCGAGGCCGATTCCCCACCGTGCTCAGTGCTATGGTCCCACCACGACTTGCACCAAGAGCAGAGGGGTCCTGCAGCAGAGGCCATGGAGGCAGGCTCCAGGCATTTCTCTTTAAGAGTGTATTTTGCAAGATTGGGCATTAATAAGGAAAAAATGTCATCTGGAGAGCTTGGGGGAAACTGCCGTCACCCTCCGGCTTCCTTGTTTCCCTCCCCAGGAGACAGGGTTGGATTTACTTTATTAAACAGAAGCAATAATTCACATTTCAAGGGGCACCTGCGAAGTAGAAGCGACCGGGCTGTGAGCAGGTAGGGAGGCTGGGGCTCAGCCAGGGCACGTTCTGGGGCAGCGATGAAGACGGGGGCTCCCAGGAGGGTCAGGATCCCGGCTTTGCCCCCCGTGAGGGAGCCGCTGCCCTTGGTAGAACGCGCTGGGTTTGCGTTTCACGATCGGCCACTGCTTCCCTCTCCGCTGGCGAGCAAGCAGCGCGCGAGAGCACACGTGGGCTGCAGCTCGTTATCGGGGAGCTTTTGAAGTGGTTAGAAAAATGAGTATTATCCCCACAGCCTGTGGGCAGAGGTGGATTTGGAGACATTTTCCACCTTGAAGAAATATACCAAAAAAAAAAAAAAGAAAAGAAAAGAAAAAGCAAACCGAGATGTGGAGGCGTCGCCACCCATGGGGGAGCTCAGCAGAGCCGTTGGGCTGACACGGCCTCGGTGGGTACCGAGCATCCATCCACGGGTGATGGAAACCCTCCCGCACGCCCCGCTCTGCTTGGAGAGAGGAGGGTTCATGTAAAATACCAAAATAATTAGCCTGGATTTCAGAAGAAAGGTGGAAATTGCAACCCCTGGACACTCAGTAAATCAAGGAGACAGTGGCGGGGGGACCCCTAACCATACATACATACATACATATATATATATATATGTTTGCCCCAATGCCCCCCACGCTCCTGCTTTAAGGATCTGATCTATCGGGCTTGTCGTTCTTTCCAATTCTAAAATCCACGACCAAATCAAAAGGCAAAGATGTGCTGGGAAATTTTTTGATGTATGGTCACAAAATAGTACAAAATACCGGTATATTAATATAGTCATGGAGTTGTGGAAGAGAGACCTTGAGGAGTCACCCAGCCCCTTCTTATAGTGCACATATATACACTCACACTCATGCGTGTGTGTGTATATATATTTGAATTTCCACAGAATTTGTAAGTGATCCAATTGGAATTATTACCTGGCATTTATAGAGCGTTTCACAATGAAGGTGTCTCCATAAATAAGATTCACATCTTTTTTCATTAAAAACTTTTAGCTGAAATTGGCTCATTTAGAAAAAAAGCACAGGTTGTAGTTTGGCTGAGATTTGGTTTTTTCCACAAAAAACCCCAATCCCCCCTCCCC